TTGTTAGTTGTCGTACTTACGTTACTTGTTAGTTCTCGTTTCTTATAGTAGTAGTATACTTCTTCTATTATATTAGTTTTTTGTCGTATATATATATATATATATATATATAGGGCACGTGAAGAGCTTTTGCCATTGATCTTTGTGTGTTTTTGAATTCTCACCTGTTACAAAACGTCACACTTTTGCTCATCACAACTAGGGTACATGACTAATTGTGGGTCTCTTTCTGGATGGTCCTAGCATTCCAAGTTGATCCACATTCCTTTGTTTTCCAATGTAATTAAATACAAGGGATACTCTCATCTTGAAAATTTTATGATCTGAGCATATCATAGTGAAAAGAGCTACTGCACACCCTTCCTAAAAGTGATCGATTTTTGGTGGCATCACACTACTTGCAAAGTGCCAAACAATAAAAAAATGTAGTTCTGATACATGCCCTCACATTGAGACTTGATATCAGCTGTGGTAGTAATTAAGATACAATACCAAATAACCTGAGCACATTCAAAAGGTGGACCTTTCTTCTTCAAGGGCAAAATAACTTCAATATACTCAACCATCCACAACTGCACAACTATCTTATAATTATCAGCTATCAAATATGGGAACATATTAAATATCACAGTCAACATAGCTCTAACAATAAGTCAAAACATTTTTTACACTACTACAGAATATAAACAGTAGTAGTCTTGTATATTAAGAAATAAGAGTGAGATTTTTTGTAATTACTTAATGTGTTTCTCTGCATGTAAATATGCACACACACACACACAAGCCTATGTCAATATCTGAAATGTTGATCTTTAAATTTCAACTGAATATAACATTTCGTCACTGTTTCAATGTGAACTGGACAGATCATATTTTTAGAGATAGTACAGTGTGAGCTTCTAATTGTTAAGATCTTATACAAGATATACTTACCGGATGGGTACTCAATGGCTCTGTCAACAGCATTTCTCCAAAAGCTTTCTGACAGTACATGGCCATTTTAGCTTGTTGTTTAGGTCTATAGAAATATCAGTAATCAGTACTACATAAACAAAAGATATATTTAAAAATTATTACTATAAAAAACATTAATATTTTTCTTCAATAATTATTTCATTTTGAGTTTACTTACTGATTAAGTATTATTTTATTACAAGTTACAGCTTTTATAGCAAGGAAGATTATTTTTTAGAACAGTTTAGATCACTGGTGTAATCATTTTCAAGTACACAAGAATGATTGTTACATTGGTGTGTTTACATCAAATTTAGCATCTCACATGTAGAAAATTATGAATGAGAATAGAATAAATATTTTTCTGATATTCCGGAAATTAACTTGTTCTTGTCATTGTGCAACTCAGAAACAAACATGCATATGAGCCCTATTGAATGAATGCTTAATATTGCCCTCTTTTAACCTACAAGGTGATTCATTAGCAAACTTATGAAACTAATACAAAGTTCCACACATCTATTTTGTTTTAAACAGTGCACAAAAACCTGTTTTACAAAACAATTATTGCTAATTATAACAGTTATTATCTTTATAGATGAGCAAAGAACAAAACAATTTCCGAAATTTAAGATGTTTTCTCTTCTGCACTAGAAGAACTCCAATTAGTTGGAATACTTTAACAAATCGGTTGGTGGAATATGAATGAATAGAACTTACGAGCAGTGGTTCTCAAATGATAATATCACAGGAAACTCTGAAGTCTTGAAAGCACTTTCAGCTATTGCCTCTATTACTTCCTGAACATGACAAAACACTTGAATATGTTACTAGAAAATTTATTTTATGCAAACAAAAAATTGTCCTGTTTCTGAGATAGATAGGCTGCACTTAAAATTGGCATTCATTCCTTCATAGTTAAAGACCACAGATTAATGAATAAAATTAACAAATAATTTGTATAATTAGTGCTGAAAAGTAAATAATGTGTGACTAATTCTGTGAATACAACTGTGCTACAATGCTAGAAACCGGGTTTTGATACCTGTGGTGGGCAGAGCACAGATAACCCATTGTGTAGTTTTGTGCTTAATTACAAACAAAACAAACAAATACAACTGTACTTTTCAGGTTGTTAAGTTAAAAAAATAGAAGGAAAAAAACTGTAAGAAAAGAACAGATAGCACAACATTTATTAACTCTACACAATTGAAAATGATAGCTATAATTTAAAAAGAATACTTAGCATGTCACAGGCCACTAAAGTTACGATACTGAGTCACAAGTGACTAAAGGTACAATAACACGTGTGTCTTAAGCCACCAAAGCTTATGTAATGAGAATGACAAAAGCTACTAAATCTATAATAGTAAGTGAGCCAAAATCTAATAAAGCTAAAACATAAGAAGTAAGATGTTCATTGACATTAAAATCCCATATTTAATTTTGACTTTATGTGATAAAACTGATCACAGAAAAAATAGAAATTTTCTTTAGTTTTTGATTATTGTTTTAAGTTTCCAGGTTTTTATTTGTTACTCTTTTCACTAACAATACAAATTCGAGTATTGTACTATACCTTAAGCAAGATTTCTGTAACAACAGTATAGCCATGTGTTATAATGGGTTCTTCATCCGAATTATGACCATTCCAGCAGTCTAGTTCAATACAGCGGCATCCTCCTAATAGGCACTGTCGATACATCTCTACTGATGATTTGCCAGTCAACTGATGTCCTGTTTGGAAAATGATAGATATATCATCAGATCCATTAAATAGTAAACATACGAAAAATGAGCTTATAGTTCACAGTGTTTCAGAGAAAAATTACACATGCTACTTCTTCAAAGAAATACACAATTGCACTTACTATCACGAGACACTGTAATCTGCATATACTTCTGATAGCTTAAACTTACCAAGTTTGGGCCATACAAATATTTGTTGCCAATCATAAAATGTAATCTAAGAACTTCCAATTCTACATAATTTGCAGTGGTATAAGAATATTTTGTGAAACATAGCTGCAAATTTCTTGAATATATTAAATCATAAATGAAACATATGCATAAGAAAGCTTTTTCACATCAAGCCAAGCTTTCAAGCTGTTGGCTAATAACACTGTTATTGAAAAAATCACACTTTTACATATTTTACATAGATTCTTCATAACCACTCTCAATAGAAACTGAAAAAATAAAGATATTTCAGAAGCTTTTTACTTGGTTTTCAATATTTCAATATCTCCAGTTTCTAGTGCCTTAAAAAAGGTTGAAATACTCTGTAACATAAAAGTGAATAAGAAAAATGATTAAACTAAAGGTAATTCAAATGAATAAAAATGAAATGAAGTCTCTCTATATATATACTAGCACTTATAACTATGTAGCTAACTTATCACATTGTAGACAGACTTCCATTTGGATTAGCTGGAAAATATTACACCATATTAAAAAGTGCAGAGAAGTCCTAACACAAATTAGGTTTATATATTGTTTTTAATACTGAAATTTAGTTTTTCACTGATTACTCAACAAGAAGTATTTCAAAAACAAACTATATGATATAATACACTGAAGTGTACATTACAACATGTATATATTTGATCACATTGCTCAAATTTCTTGTAACGAGGAAAATATACATAATATACAACATCTACAGTCATCTTTGAAGAGGACAGAAACTGATAAACTGTGAAGATGTCATTATATGCTATTATAACACTGCTAACGTTTCTTTGAAGAGGAAAACACTACATACTGTTACGTATCTGCTTGTTTGATAATTTCCGGTAAAAATTATTTCCGAGAAACTTCAGCGATACAAGTTCTCTCTTGATTAAAACTAGTTTATTCTTTCTTGATATAACTTTTTGTAATACACAGAATTTCCACAGTCACTTTAAATTTAACAACCTTTATAACACATGCTATAAATTGCAGCGATTCACACACTTTATTTACAGTGCCTACTGTTCGCTTGACTCAGTTATCTATCTCTTCAATCTATATATATCTCTGCCCTTGCACTAGTTTTTCTCGCCAGGCTTATATACTAAAAAGAGGGCGCAAACACTCAGACATTCGCGGAGTTCCTCGATAATTCATGATCCTTCTAGAAACTCCAGCGTGCATGCTCCCAGAGTCGCGTGACTTCCGCGGTCGTAACAATACTATACAACACTGCTTACATTTCTTGTCAAGAGGTCATTACGCAATATATAACACCGATAACACTTCTTGTGACGAGATCATTACACAATATCCAACACCGATAACATTTTTTGTGAAGAGATCATTGCACAATATATATAACACTGCTGACTTTTTTTGTGAAGAGGTCATTACACAGTACATATAACACTGCTAACTTTTGTGAAGAGGTCATTTCACAATATATAACACTCCTAACATTTTTTGCTAAAATTTTTTCTGAAGACGATAATACATTACACAATAATGAACATGTTATCTCACCTGTGAGATAAGTATTGTGAGAAGAATTAATGAAGTAATGATTTAAAGGCTGATTCATATCCTCATTCAAGTCCAGCTTGTCCAAAGCCATGATGTTATTGTCCTCACTCATCAAATACTGTAAGAATCCTTCTGCTGATAACAAACCTGGAAGACAAAAATAAAATACAAATCTTTAAAATTATACAGTCTGCAAAGTTTTCTTTGAAAATATGTAGTATGATAAGTAGAACAGTGGAACATTTAATGGTAGCAGTTTTTACAACTACGTTTTTAAATAATAGGTGTAGGGGCTTAATTTTGACTGGGGGGGGGGGCAAGCAAGTTTTGCCTGAAAATATAAAAGCGACCTTAAAATCACGTACTATACGGTTTAAAGTCGCTTGAATAAAATGGTTCCAATAACTTCCATGCGGAACCATATGGCGATAAAGAATTAAAAAGGTGCAAGTGAAAATGTCATGTGTGGGTTATATATTTTCTGAAAAGGCATAATCAGTTGGCAAATATAAAAGTTATAGATATGTACGGAGCTTTTCCCCAAATATTTTGGGTGATTTTTTGTCCAAAAAACTATTTGGGCTAGAACTTGGGGGGCAATTGCCTCTCTTGACCCCCCGCTTCCTAAGCCTATGATAATAGGATGTACTTCGGCTTAGACAATAAAATGGTTGAAGTCAAATTCTATTCATACAAAGATTCTTATAAATATAAGAATGTAAAAGTTATGGAAGGCTATATGACCCTTCTAGATCAACTGTAATCCTTAAACAAACATCAAATGATAGAAATATAGTTTTCCATATCCAAGAATGTATTGTTTGTTTGTTTGTAATTAAACACACAAAGCTATCTGTGCTCTGCCCAACGCGGATATCGAAACCCGGATTCTAGCATTGTAGGTCCGCAGACATACCGCTGTGCTACTGGGGGCTCCGAAAATGTAAAAAAATTATTATTGTTTGTTTGTTTGAATTTCGCACAAAGCTACACGAGGGCTATCTGCACTAGCCGTTCCTAATTTAGCAGTGTAAGACTAGAGGGAAGGCAGCTAGTCATCACCACCCACCGCCAACTCTTGGGCTACTCTTTTTACCCACGAATAGCGGGATTGATCGTCACATTATAACGCCCTCATGGCGGAGCATGTTTGATGTGACGGTGATTCGAACTCGCAACCCTCAGATTGCGAGTCGAGCGCCCTGACCACCTGGCCATGCCGGGCCGAATTATTATTAGCACAGTTTGTTTGTTTGGTTGAAGTTAAGCACAAAGCTAAACAATGGGCTGTCAGTGCTCTGCTATCAGGTTTCTAGCATGGTAAATCCACAGACATACCACTGTGTCACTAGGAGGCTATCAGCACACAATATATCATCTGATAAACTCTTTCAAAAATTCTTATTTCTAGCATAGAAATTATTCTGCCCAAAGATTTAAGTATAGTTTTGAAAAGCTTGAGCCAATTTTTCAATAATAAACTTACTAATGTTAACCAGAATATATTAGAAAAAAAACAACAAAAAACTTCTAAGTAGTTGCCTTTCCATGCTACTAACAATTTTTATAAATCTAAATCACATCACCTCTTGTTCTTCTATGGCCTAGCAAAAAAAAAAAAAAAATAGACAAACGCATTTAGGACTATTATAAGAGCTCAGATTTGTTAATTAAACCAAGTATTATATTGATAATTTTTCTATGTACCCTTTACAGACAGGAATTGGGTTATAATATATATTCACATATGGTTTGTTCCTGGAAGAACAAAATATGGTTTCATTAATTTTAAAAAGTACATACAATCGCAAAAAATCCTAAACCTAAGTGCTTTTGGAAGGTGAATCTTCTTTCTTCAAGAGTAAATGGTAGGTGAGTTTCTCATTTACTCATGAAGATGGAAGAAATTAATTTACTATTTACTCCTAAAGAATGATGGCTCACTTTTAGAAAGTGTCTAAGTTTAGGGTCTTTTAATTTTCACACAATTATGAATATGGACATATTTTTACTTCAAATGTGATTATGATTCAAATAAGCATAGAATTAAGCTGATCCTAGAGGAAGTAGAACAAATGTTTGAAACGACACAGAACTGAATGAAAGATATGATTCCTTATAGTTTGTTAAAGCTCAAGAGTAGAACTGACACCCTGCTTCAACATACTTGGTTTCTCCATTTTAGACACAATACCAAATTGTTCAAGTGGAAGTTTAGAGAAGGACTACTGAAGGATGATTCCATGTATGGATATTGTTGTATGGAATAGGTTGAGATCTAACTTATTTTCTTTTGAAAAGACAAGGATCAGGGGTTACCTAATTGAAGTATTCAAATTAATAGAAATATTGAAGCATTAGATGAATTGTGAGGGGAGTAGGTTTGTTCTGTTGTTTAGTATAAAGTTACACAATGTGCCTACTGGAAAGATCGACCCCCCCCCCCCAAGTTTTAGTGTTATAAACTCTTCAGAATGTTGCTGACCCACAAGGGGGCAGCTAAGAGAGGAGGACCAAATGTTATAAGGTTAATATCTGAAAAGGTTAGGTGCATTAAAAAGGATTGACAAATATTTTAAGGATCAGGGATGGATTTAGTGATTAGTTTTATGTTTGTTCAGGAAGTTTGGAAGTCAGATAGAACACCCTTGATCTTCCACAACTTATATTTCATAACCTGACTAGAAAAATATGCAAACCATTAGAACATGCTTCAGCCTCTTAACATGACTAAAGAGAAGTGGAACACACTTTAATATTAGACCATAACATATATATATATATACATATATCTTATGGTCAAACAAACTGCTTAAACCTTACTGTTCGAAGTCTCATTAACTCTGTGAGGTACCAACTCTCTTGTAGCACTAATAGATTTTGGGAATAATAACATCTTATTATCTATTACACCCATCAACAAACAATGTTTATTTCATAACTCTTTACTGACACCATAGTCATTTATAACTTATCTATTTTTGCATTAATCTATTATTGCAAGTTTAAATGTATTTCATTCAAATATCACACATGTAATTACGTTAATATGCTATTACACATATTGTATGTCTACAAAACAAGAGAGCATGCCATATATTCTCATATAGAGTCAATAAAATTGTGAAATGTTAAATTTTAAGTGTTCTGATATGCAAAATAGACACATCATCATCTATCTCTTAAACCAGAGTATATTTCTAAAATTCATCCAACCTAGCATATAAGTGGTTATTTCTACAAGTGATTGGTAATTGTGAAAGATGCATTACACAACTGTAAAATTAATTTTCCTACAAATCAAATGTGTTAAAACTTAACAAACTAAGATTTATTGAGTAGCTGTGCTAGCTATGCATAGTTTATTACCCGTGTGATGACACATCCTTGAAACGTAGCCAAGAAACTCAACTCCTATGTATTACAAACACCTCCCTGTAAGTTTTTGTTTGTTTGTTTGCTTCAGTGAATTATGCAAAGTTATACAAAGGGTTATATCCACTAGCCATCCCTAATTTTGAACAGATAGAGTAGAGAGAAGACAACTAATCAACACCACCCATAGCCAACTATTGGGGTACTCTAACTGAATAACGTGAGTTGACCATTACTCATATAATGCATCTATCACCTCAAAAGGTAAAGAGTTTCACTTTATGGCAATGGGACACGAACCATAAACTCTTGGATTTACAGTACGGTTATACTAACCAGGAGAGGCTCTGTGCAGCCAGCATCTTCATTGTAAGAAAATGAATATTTTGAACACTAGTTAAACTAAAATTAATTTACTACTCACCTTTCTGAGCATATACTTTGTTAGGTTCACACTGTTTTATAACCTCTCTTGCATGTTCAGAAGTTAGATAAGGATAAAGGATCTCATTGAGTCGTGGATCTCTTTGTTCTTTATTCAGAAAGTTTACTAACTGCTCCGTTGTCATTCCTTTCTTTTTATTCCCTCCACATCTGAAATATTTCATGACTTGAATTGCATTACAAAAATTAATGTAGATAAAATATATTCCAAATTTAACTGGTTTACAAAAACCTATTGGATGTAAACATGTAATAATTTGAATTTCTGACAAGGTATCCCGGTGGGACAGCGGTAAGTCTTCGGATTTACAATGCTAAAATCAGGGGTTCGATTCTCCTTGGTGGACACAGAAGGTAGCCCTATGTGGCTTTGCTATAACAAAATACACACTGATGAGATACTTTATTAAGAAAAATAGACATAGTACTACTGTTATACAACCAACTTGTCAGTAAATTGTTTTGAAACATTTTAATTTGTATTTTTCATAATAACTACTCCAATCATGTATTTTATCCATGCATAGTAGCTTATCTAGCACATACAGGCTTTGAAAAATCTACTGGGACATCAGGTAGTTCAACTATCACTAGAGCTTAAACATTTTCAAATTATTACTATAAACTCACAACCCAGGTCAACATCTAATAATAACAAACATTATTCACACACGTTCCAAGTGCTAGTCTTAGGGACTTATTTAAATATTAATGGAAATGTTCGGTTCGAAAATATCATCCTCAAATCAAGATTTCTAGTTACCTTAATAATTTAGTATTATTCACATTAGAATTCAAGATAAGACTGTTTTGATAACTCTTTGCCAGGATTAATCCTTTGATTCATAATTTAATTTGATATTTTAATTGTACAGCATTAAGAGATGTAAGAAAAAAACAACCTAAGTGATAAATTCATATGAAAAGCTCAATGAAAGTGCATAAATGTGTGTAGCAGAAAACTATACCAAGCTACTTTCTTTTTCTCCATAACGAAAGTGCCTCCCCAGTGACACTGCGGCATGTATGCGGACTTACAACGCTAGAAACCGGGTTTCGATACCTGTGGTTAGTAGAGGACATATAGCCCATCGAGTGGTTTTAGTAGTTTTAGGTTGGTTGGTAATTTTGCAAGCCAATAATTTTTACTCTTGGGTGACCAGCCCAGACAGCAATCATATAAACTGAGCATGGTCAGCAATGGGAATTTGAATTTGTGACCGTCAAACTGCGAGTCGAGCACCTTAGCCATCAGGCCATGCCAGGCCCATACCAAACCACTTTTCTTATCTAAAATTTATATAAAGCTCTATGGGTGTTAATATATTTATCACTGAGCTATCTGGACTGACAATGACTGACATTTCTTGAACTGTGGTTCTTAATAGGTCATGCAGAAATTTTGTTATCCAGTGTGAACCTTATGTTTTTCATTCTACTACTTATTGTTTCTTTTTTATTAGTATTTAGATTAAACATATAAATGTTGTAACTTGTTTAATGCTTATGTTTTTAAAAATTGAAATAAAAGAATGAATTTTATATGCCTTTACTAGCTGGAGTAGCCATCCATTGGACAAACGATAGGAAATTGTGCTTCTATTTTTTTTTTCTTAACATAATAAACATTAAAATTCAATAAAAATACGTAAAGGTACCAATATTGAAAAGAAAGACATACTGTTTTCAAGAATTCTAACAATAGTAGTTACATAGTTCATTCTAATGCTGAGGGATATACAACATTGGTAGTTTCCGAAATTAAATATGAAATTAGAGGGGGTACAACCCCCCTGATCTTCCTCGTGTCATCCTGTATCACTATGTCAAGCTTAGTGCTGACTGATCAAGAAATGTGGAAACGTATAAGGAACAAATACACAAACATATTGACGTTTATTTACATAGATGACCAAAGAAATAATCATTACTGTTTGTAGTACTAGTACTAATATATGAAAAGGCTGAATCATCATCGGAAACATCTTGAAATAGTTTCTTCTAGTTTCATGCATCAATTTGAGATCATTAATAATTTTAATAAGTGCCAAGTGATGTATAATGAATGTCAGTGTTATGGGGCCAGGATTCTTTACAGTAGGTGTCTGTGACTTGTTGGCGATAAATTTCAACAATGAAAAGAAAGCACACAATGCACTAGTTTTAAAATAATATATTCAAAACAAGTCAAATATATTAAAAAAAATTCGTTACACTATTGGTTATCACAGTTGTATCCAGAACTTTAAATACTTGTCTCTATTTCTTCAAAGTCCATACAGGTAGGTTCAATTAATTTAGAACATCCTTTGACAAGACAAATTATTCTCCTCTACTCTGTTATCACAATACAATTAGTGATACATTCACTTACTTTAACCAGTGGGTTACAACAGTTGTATACATAGCTTTAAATAATTCTATTTTTTCATAAAAGTCTATACAGACTGGTTCAGTTATTTTAGAACCCAACTGACAAGACGAATTATTCTTCTCTACTCTGTTTATTACAATACAATCTGCGATTATAACACTTTAAAGTCGTCACTACACACTATTTATGGTTAAACTTACAAACGCAGTCTAGATATGCCTAATTATCTATCACTTAACTTGCTTTCTTAGCTTCCTCTCTGTATCTGCACGTATTTATAAAACGCGACAGAAAAGTCTAGAAATATCTAGCCCTCTAGTGACAACGAGAAAATCTTAAAGGCCTCGAGTAAGATGACATCAACAATATTACGAAAGCCTAGTACAACAATTAAACTGCATAGACAAAGTACGACTGCTATATAACGAAATTTGTCATAACTATCGCTTTTAAAATAATTTTTAACAGACGTGTTATGAAAACTAAATAATAACTCTTTAACTAAACAGTCTTGTATATCCAACAATGAGGGCTAGCTATGCCTAATTTTAAACTGATAAACTAAAAAGTAGGCAGCTAGTCACAGGAATCCACCGTCCACTTTTGGTTACTTGAATCAATTAATGGGATTTAATTAATACTCTTATAATGCACCACAAAATCCGAAGTGCCCAGTGTCAGTCTGTGGCAGTCGGACACAAACTATGTTTCTGAGTGCATGTCTTTTGAAGTTTGTTTGCATTATTATATTATACCTTAGATTCTGGGCAAAGATAGGTTAATGTGATTGAATTAGTGATATTCATTATTAAATCCAGGTTACATACTTTTACTCAAAATATGAGAAAGGTCAAAACATAAATTCTGAAACAAAGACCCAATTAAGGTAGAAATCCACAAAATCAAGTACTCACGTTGCATACAAAAGCCAAACCCATGTTGACTTTGAAACACATTCTTTCCACATATTGAAAACATTAATAAAACCCACCTGTTGACTTTACACGCAGTTCACATGTCAGAAACACTGCCCAATTACACTTGTCATATTGAAGCACAGTTCACAAGTCAGAAACACTGCCCAAATCTATCTGTCAACTTCTAACACTATCCACACATCAGAAACACTGCCCAAAACCACCTGTGAATTATAAACATAGTTATGTGCCAGAAATACTGTCTAATTACACCTGTCAACTTCAAACACAGTCCACATATCAGAAAAAATGCCAAAATCCATTTGTCAAATTTAAACACAGTCCTCATGCAGAAAACTGCCCAAACACAACCTTCAACATCAAAGACAGTCCACATGCCAGAAACACTGATCAAACCCTACCGTCAACATGAAGCATAGTCCACATGTCAGAAACACTACCAAAATCCATCTGTCAAAATAAAACATAGTTTACATGTCAGAAATACTGCCCAAACCCAACTGTTAACTTCAAACACAGCACACAAGCTAGAAACACACCCCAAGCAAACTAATGAGCTTCAAACATAGTCATGTGTCAAAAACACTGTCTGAATCTAGCTATCAACTTTAAACACAGTGAACATGTCAGAAAAACTTCCAAAACCCGCCTGTCAACTTCAAACATAGTACACATGTCAGAAACACTGCCCAAACACACCCGTCACCCACAAACATAGTCATGTATCAGAAACACTGCTGAAACCTGTCAACTTAAAACACAGTTCATATGTCTGAAACACTTGTCAAATCCACATGTAGTATTCAAACAAAGTCAACATGTCAGAATAACTAACCAAATCTACCCCTCAACTTTAAACACAATTCACATGTCAGAAACACTGCCCAAATCCACTTGTGAAATTCAAACACAGTCCACATGTCGGAAACATTGTCGAAATCAACCCGACAACTTCAACCTCAGATCACGTCTCAGAAATCTTCCCCTAATCCACCACGAATTTCAAACACAGTTCACATGTCAGAAACACTGCCCAAATCTACTTGTCACATTAGAGCACATTCCACATGTGAGAAAAATTGCTCAAACCCACCTATTAATTTGAGACACAGTCCAAAGATCAGAAACACGGGTCAAATCCACAAGTAAACTTCAAACACAATCCACATATCAGAAACACGGGTCAAATCCACCTGTCAACTTCAAACACAATTCAAATGTCAGTAAAACTGATGAAATCCACCTGTAGAATTCAAACACAGTAAACATGTCAGAAACACTACCCAAAAATACCCATCAACTTCAAACACAGTCCATATGTCAGACACAATGTCCAAATCATCTTGTCAAATTCAAGCACAGTCCACATCTCAGAAACATTGCCCGAACACACCCATCAATTTCAAAGAGATTCTCGTATCAGACATAATTGCCCAAATCAATCAGTCAACTTCAAACACAGTAGACATGTCAGAAACACTTGCCAAATCCACCCTTCAACTTCAAATACGATTCAAAATAAAGAAACACTGTTCAAATTGACTTGTCAACTTCAAAGAGAGTCCAAATGTCAGAAACACTGTACAAATCCACTCATTAACTTCAAACACAGTACACATGTGAGAAACACTGCCCGAAACAACCAGTGAACTTCAAACACAATTCAAAATGTCAGAAATCCTTCCCAAATCAACTTGTCAAATTCAAGCACTGTACACATATCAAAAACACTGCCCAAATCTACCCGTCAACTTCAAATACGATTCAAAATAAAGAAATACTGTCAAAATCCACTTGTCAACTTCAAACAGAGTTCAAATGTCAGAAACACTGTCCAAATCTACTCACCAACTTCAAACGCAGTATACATGTCAGAAACAGTGCCCAAACTCACCTGTCAACTTAAAACATAGTTCACATGTCAGAAACATTGTACAAACCAACAAGTCAACTTCAAACACAATATTCATGTCAGAAACACTGCCCAAATCTACTCATCAACTTTAAACACAGTACACATGTCAGAAACACTGCCCGAAACCACCAGTGAACTTCAAACACAATTCAAATGTCAGAAACCCTTCCCAAATCAACTTGTCAAATTCAAGCACTGCACACATGTCAAAAACACTGCCCAAACCCACCCGTCAACTTCAAACACAGTATTCATGTCAGAAACACTGCCCAAACTCACCCATCAACTTCAAGCACAGTTCATATGTTAGAAACACTGCCCAAATCCACTTGTCATTATAAGCACAGTCCACATATGAAAACAATTGCTCAAACCCACCTATCAACTTGAGACTCAGTCCACATGTCAGAAACAGTGTGCGAATCAAGTTGTTATCTTCAAACACAGTCTACATGTCAGAAACACTGCTGAAACACAACAATGAACATCAAACACTTTCCACATCTCAGAAACGCTGCCCAAACCCACCCGTCAACTTCAAACATTGTTCACATGTCAGAAACACTGCCCAAACCCACCAATCGACTTCAAACATAGTCCACACGTCACAAACACTGCTCAACTCCACCCATCAACTTAAGGAATAGTCCACATGTCAGAAACAGTGTGCGAATCAAGTTGTTATCTTCAAACACAGTCTACATGTCAGAAACACTGCTGAAACACAACAATGAACATCAAACACTTTCCACATCTCAGAAACGCTGCCCAAACCCACCCGTCAACTTCAAACATTGTTCACATGTCAGAAACACTGTCCAAACCCACCAGTCGACTTCAAACACAGTCCACACGTCACAAACACTGCTCAACTCCACCCATCAACTTAAGGAATAGTCCACATGTCAGAAACACTACCTATATTCATCCATCGTCTTCCAATATAATCCAATTGTCAGAAACTCTGGAGAAATCTACATCTGAACTTCAAACACAGTCCATATGTCAGAAACACTGCCAAAACCTACGCATAAACTTATAACAGAGTTCATATATTAGAAAAACTGCCCCAATCCACCTGTCAACTTCAAACAGTCAATATATGTAAAACACTGCCAAAGCACACCCATCAACATACAAACACAATCCACATGTCAGAAACTCTGCCCAAATCAACCCATCGACTTCCAACAAGGTTCACACTTAGAAATACTGCACAAATCCACTTGTCAAATTGAAGCACAGTCCACATGTCAGGAACACTCCCCAAATCCATCCGTCAACTTCAAACAGTCCACATGTGAGTAACAATGCCCAAGAACACTCGTCAGCTTTGAAAATTGTCATGTGTCAGAAATACTGCCAACATCCAACCAGCCAATATCCACTTGCCACATTGAACCACAGTCCACATGTCAGAAACGCTGTCCAAGCCTATCCGTCAACTTTAAATACGATTCAAAATAAAGAAATATTGTCGAAATCGACTTGTCAACTTCAGAGTCCAAATGTCAGAAACACAGCTGAAATCCACCAGTCAACTTAAGGTATAGTCCACATGTCAGAAACACTGCCTAAATCCACCAGTCAACTTGAAACACAATCCACATGCCAGAAACACTGACGAAATATACCTTTCAACTTCAAACAAACTACATTTGTCAGAAACATTGCCCAAATCTACCTGTCATATTCAAGCACATTCCTCACGCAGAAGCACGCTACAAACAAACTCGTCAACTTCAAACACAGTACACATATCAGAAACACTGCCCAAATCCACTTGTCAACTTCAGACACAGCCCACATGTCAGAAACACTGTCCAAATCCGCCTTTCAAATTCAAAGACGATTCACGTGTAAGAAACATTGCCCAAATCCACCAGTCAACTTGAAACACAATACACATGCCAGAAACACCGACGAAATCCACCTTTCAGCCTCAAACACAGTATACGTATCAGAAACACTTCCCAAGTCCACCCGTCATTTTCAAATACAATTAAAAATTTAGAAATACAGTTCAAATTGACTTGTCAAGTTCAAACAGAGTTCACATGACAGAATAACTGTCCAAACCCACCCATCAACTTAAGGTATAGTCCACATCAACTTAAGGTATAGTCCACATGTGAAAAACACTTCCTAAACCTACCTTAACTTCAAATACCGTTCACATGTCAGAAACATTGTCCAAGCCCACCCTTCAACTCAAAACACAGTCATATGTCCAAAACATTGCTCAAATTCACCCGTCAACTTTAAACACAGTCCACACACCAGAAACACTGCCCAAATCCACCCGTCAATTTTAAACACAGTCCAGGTGTCAGAAACACTGCCCAAACCCACCTGTCAACTTTAAACACAGTCCACATGTCAGAAATACTGCCCAAACCCACCTGTCAACTTTAAACACAGTCCACATGTCAGAAATACTGCCCAAACCCACCTGTAAACTTTAAACACAGTCCACATGTCAGAAATACTGCCCAAACACACTCATCAACTTCAAACACAGTACACATGTCGGAAATACTGCCGAAGCACACCAATCAACTTCAAACACAGTCCACATGTCGGAAATACTACCCAAACTCATCTGTCGACTTTAATGCAAAGTACATTGAACAAACCCACTTGTTAAGTTTAAAAAAAATGTACATGTGTAATAGCCTGGACAAACTCACTTGTCAATTTTAAAATAATACTTGAGTGGAGAAACTCACCCGTCAATCTAAAAAACAGTACATGTGTGGAATATACTGGACAGATACACATGTCAACTTTGAAACACAATAAATGTGTGGAATATTCTGGACAAATCCACCTGTCAACTATATATTTTATGCATTTATTTTTCACTGGCTAAACTGAAATCTTCAAAACTAGCTTACTAATTTTCATTACAAATTTGAAATCCAAAGATGAACAGCATGTTGTCAAGATGTCAGTTTGGAAACTTTCCGGCCATACATCTTGGACAAAGAGCACTGGACAGTACAACTTAATAGTATATTTACCACACATCTTGGACTGAGTACACTGGATAGTCAAGTCAATCTTAACATTATACCTACCATATATCTTGGACTGAGAATACTGGATAGTCAACCTTAACATTATATCTAAATCTTGGACTGAGAACACTGGATAGTACACCTTTACAATATATATATATATATCCATACATCTTGGACTGAGAATACTGGATAGTCAACCTTAACATTATACCTACCATACATCTTGGACTGAGAACACTGGATAGTACACCTTTACAATATATATATATATATCCATACATCTTGGACTGAGAATACTGGATAGTCAACCTTAACATTATACCTACCGTACATCTTGGATTGAGAACAATGGATAGGACACCTTAACCTTATATCTACCACTTGTCTTGGACTGAGAAAACTGGATGGTACATTAACATCATATGTACCACACATCTTGGACTGATAACATTGGATAATGTGCTTTAACATTAGACCTATGAAACATCTTGGACTGAGGACATTGGAAAATCGACTTTAACATTAGACTTACCACTGATTTTGGAGAACACAAGACAGTGTAACTTAATATTAGACCTAGTTTTAAAAATTATTAAAAATAAAAACTTACAATTTTTCATATAATTTATATATTTCCATTCTCCCTGAGAGGTGACGATAAAAGCAAAAGAAATCTTCAAAAGTGAACTTTTCTGGGGCAATCGAATCATTCTGTAAGTAAGAAAATTCATATAAACAGATATACAGCTTCTGATGGTACACAAAATGGTACTGACTGGAAATTAGATTGGCTTTAAGCCTAATAGCTTATTGGATAAAACAAAAAGCTATACTTTTTAAATTAATGTACACTATCTATATAAAATGCCAATCTAGTTTCGACTACAAAGTATGCTATTATCAAAGGCAACAGTGAGTAGGTGCAACAAAAATCACAAGAAGTAAACGGATTATAAATACAACCCATCCTCCATAAGTTAAACATTCAACAGTTGGAAGCTCAATTAGACAAGAAAACAGTTCTCCAAATTTGCTATGTCTAGACTACTAAAGAATAGTGGAGTATTTAACATCAGTGCAATCGGGGCAATGCACGGACGGGCCCCCTAAGAAAATTGCACTGAGTAGTTTGAGTTGTTAAAACGCCTCTACTAATGAAGATAATAATCATGTAATAAATTATTAGACTAGGAAACACTTCTCTAGTATCACTTTAAGTACCCTGTTACAGAAGGTGACTATCATCCTGTAATAAATCATTAAACTAGGAAACATTTCTCCAAATTCACTATGTCTATACTGTTAGAGAAGGAGATAATACTCTTGTTGTAAATCATTAAGTAGGAAACTGTTCTCTAAGTTCACTATGTCTAGACTGTTACAGAAGGCAATAATCCTGTAATAAATCATTAACTAGGAAACTGTTCTCTAAGTTCACTATAAACTGTTCTCTAAGTTCGCTATGTCTAGACTGTTGCAGAAGGCAATAATCCTGTAATAAATCAATAAGTAGGAAACTGTTCTCTAAGTTCACTATGTCTAGACTGTTACAGAAGACAATAATCCTGTAATAAATCATTAACTAGGAAAGTGTTCTCTAAGTTCATAAGGTCTAGACTGTTACAGAAGACAATAATCCTGTAATAAATCATTAACTAGGAAACTGTTCTCTAAGTTCACTATGTCTAGACTGTTACAGAAGACAATAATCCTGTAATAAATCATTAACTAGGAAAGTGTTCTCTAAGTTCACAAGGTCTAGACTGTTACAGAAGACAGTAATCCTGTAATAAATCATTAACTAGGAAACTGTTCTCTAAGTTCATTATGTCTAGGACTCTAGGTTTTCGGTTACCATCTATAGTTTACAGTGGACATTAACTGGGTACAGGCATACAAAATAAAGAGAGAAAAAAACTATAACCAAGCAGCAAAACAGTCCACTTGTTTTAAAATAGTATATTAAAAACAAATCAAACGTATATACAAATGTTCGTTATACTGTTGGTTACCACAGTTGTATCCAGAGCTTTAAATAATTGTCTCTTTTTCGTCAAAGTCCACATAGGCTGGTTAAGTTACCTTATAACACAATTGACAAGACGAATTATTCTTTGCTACTCTGTTATTACAATACAGTCTGTGATAATTTCATTTTAAAAATCGCCACCATACACTGTTTGTAGCTAAACTCATGATCACGCAGTCTAGAACTAGAACTAAATAATGATTTTTCGAAGCGTATTTATATACCGACAAAAGTCTAGAACATTTCAAGCAGTACTAGATATTCTAATGTAATAATACTCAGTTAAAACAACAAAAAACCCAGAAAGTTCTAACGACATGATGCAATAATCCCACTATTGTAAACAATCGCTAAGTCATAACAAGTGAACCACACAACGTATGATTTGTAAACAATTACATAAACAAACTTACCATACCATATCGCTCTAAAATTAACTAAATATGACACCCACTCTATATAAACTATTTTGGATTATCCTTCAAATTTAAAATTCGTTAAAATCATACCCTCTATAGTAGGATCATATACATGATATTTTTGTAAGTTCATATCTACCTTATATGCTTAAATTCCCCAACATGCATCTGCTGCCATATCATACATCTAAGTACGTTTAGAATATGCTTAGAAATACAATTATATTGGGGATTAATACAAACAATTATTTCACTAGAAGAACCACAAATACATTTTCATTCCTTGATGTAGCCGTTCACCAGTGGCTTAGCGGTAAATCTGGGGGCTTATAACAGTATTATTCGAGTTTCAATCCTTATTCAATAACAGACAAACTTAATTTAACTTCTTCGGCACAAATCACAATTACCTGGTTAGCACAGATAAATTATTTCATGGATTTTTGACTGTAGTGAGTATTCTGTATACATTTTAAAGCTGTATACGACATAAGGTCCGTTTACATTTGTTCTTTATATTTTTCAGAATTGGTTCCATAATAGCTTTAAGTTAAATGTTTTAGATTTACGCTCACGTTTAAGCAAGTCGAAGAATATCCCCTCTCTTATTTACCTTTCTGGGCCAATCACACTTTCATTCAGCAATATTAAAACCTCTGTTAATTACGTTTTCCGAGTAATGGGATACTTTTTATGTAATATCTTCAATTCTTCTAGTCTTCTTTTTTTTAAGAACTAGTTAACCACCATATAATATATCATTTGAATTATGAAGATTTGTTTGTTTGTAATTAAGCACAAAGCCACACATTGGGCTATCTGTGCTCTGCCTACCACGGGCATCGAAACCCAGTTTCTAGCGTTGTAACTCCGCAGACATACCGCTATGCCACTGGGGGGCTTAAATTATAAGGAACATTCAACTTGATGTGTTGAAAATAGTAACTGTCGACTCGTAATAAATCTAAATGTCTGGAAGATTTGGTCGGTTTGTAACAAATTTCAGTGTTTATAAAAGAAACAGCAGCGGAAGCCATTACTTATATTTCATGAAGTTCGAATAAGGTGAAGTCGTACGAAATATTTTTGTTTTCATTATATGTAGTAACGAATCAATTTCTAAGCATAAGCAGATTGTTCTATTAACAACTTAACACCCATGAAGTGGGTAAATATTCCAAATGATATTTTTATATTCTGTTTTAGATTAGTGGGAGAAAAGCTTCGCGCTTTTAACACGAATTTTTGCGTGTTGTTTAGTTTCGAATTAAGTACTGTGTATATGTTATTATTTTTACACATTCACATTTCTGCACATGTTAAACCCAGGGTTATTTTTATGAAGCCCACATCTTCCGACTGTTGCAAAAATATCAGAATTAATAACAATAAGTCATGCTTTGTAATTTCACAACTTTGAAGATTCTACATATTTTTATGTCATGAATTGGAACGTCTTTATATGGAAATCTCTACACAATCTAAGTCTGTTGTACTAACTTTAGTATTGAATGGACTGTATTTATATAACTTGTTATATTCCTTATCTATTGAACTAAACGATACTTGCTTTAATATCTACCTATTGGAATTCATACAGAAGTCAGGTATGATTAGTAGTGATTTCTACATAACATCGGCTTACCTTGGCTTTTGGTAGTCCTGCCAACTCGAGCGCTTTCTCAACTCGTTTCTTGTCGTCTTTATGGGTCGCAAACATTCTAACGATGCTGGAAAACCAAGAGAAGTGAAGACATTAAGGATGTGTTGTGTAGGAGAAAAACAAACAAACACGTATTGTACTCAATTTGCTTGAATCTACTCATTGTTTTCTCTGAAATGTATAGTTAACGGGCCAGCTTCTTGGCATGATCAGTAATTAATTTTAATGATGGAGCAAAATACTAGTAACTTTCGAGTTCAAATTGAAAATCGAGGAGTATCGACGTGCGAAACAGAAAACACGAAAACCATTTTAAGCAAAGATCCCAGTGTCCTTTGGGAGACGTTCCAAAAGGCCGTACTTCACAGAGAACGATATTTATCACTTTTCTAGCTTAATGAAGAGCAAACTATTCGTTTAAGTGGACTCCACATATAATTCCATGATTCCATCTTTTCACAACAGCGATTAATTTGTTGTCGCTATTCAAGTTTAGACAAAAGCAAGACGAATGTATATATGATATATATATGAAATCTCAAACAGGTGAAGCTTTCCTTGGTTCTAAAGCGACAAGATAATTGAATGTAATTTCGAGGTTGATAAATATATATATTTTTTACTTTACAATTACTGAACAACTACTGTTCTTTGTTTCTACAGCTGTTATTATTGTACCATTTCTGATCCATTATTTTACACTTTCAATTGTTTACTCAGAATAAGACTGAAAAAACCCATAGACAACGTAATAATTCTACTATGAAATAAAAATAATATTACCGTAAATAAAACGAATAAAGTGACATATAACATGATGAAAGAGTTAGCACACTGGATCATCAAAAAATAAAATATAAAATCACGGTAGATTTTAAACTACCCAGAAACTCAAGCGCTTTTGAACAATTGACTATTTCTCTTGTTCTTCTTGATCTTAGAAACAGTCTAACTATTCGCTTACGCTTGATCTTCTGGGTCTCTTGATATAACATAAATTAGTGAGCCGGATTAAATGTTTGTGTGTAAACTGTTATTTTTATGCATTGAAAAGTTACAAATACGTTGAAACAATTATTATATTTACGTTGAAACCATTATTAGATTTTAGTATTCTCCGACTAGTGTAGCCCCCCCAGTGGCTCAGCGGTAAGACTGAAGGCTTGTAACACTAATACCGGATTTCAATACCCATGGTGAACATAGCACAGATAGCTCATTGTGAAGCTTTGTGCTTAAGAATAAAACAAACGAACTGAGTCTTGTGAAAATAATTGTGTTGGTAACAGTGAAGCATATTTTGTGATTTTACAGTTTCTCGAAGATATGAGTTATTTGCACCCTATTTTTTTGGTCACGAAATAGGTTGTCTCCAGGCTCAACCTTCTAGACTAGCATTTCTGAAAGTTTAGTCCGCGAGTCATGTCTGAAGTTTCACACAAATGTTTAAAAAAATATGATTTCTAGAATAAAAAAATATTTTTCGTAAGATAATATTTATATGAATTAAAACATTTAATTTTGGAATACGGATTTTCGAATGAACGGAATCTTATTTTTGAAAACAAAAACAAACATCGATAGGTTTAAGGGCCCGAGAAAAATTTTATATTAAAAGAAGTCCTCACTTACTAAGCTTTCAAAATCGCTGTCCAAAAAATCTAGATATGTTTTAGAGGTGCTGTTGTTAGCTTTATTTTAGTTGACAAAACAATGAAATTTGTTTGTTTTTTTGTTTGTAGTTAAGTACAAAGCTACACAATGAGCTACCTGTGATCTGCCCACCACGGGTATCGAAACCCGAGTTTTAGCTTCGTAAGCCTGCAAACTTGCCGCTGATTCACTGGTGGGGAGAGGGAGAGGTGAAGAAAGAGAAGAAATCTGCTAACAGTCAAAATTCCAAACCTTTATATACTTCACTAACCCTAACTGGTCCAAACCTTTATATACTTCCCTGACCCTAACTGTTCCAAACCTTTATATACTTCACTGACCCTAACTATTCCAAAACTTTATATACTTCACTGACCCTAACTGTTCCAAACCTTTATATACTTCATTAACCCTAACTGTTCCAAACCTTTATATACTTCACTGACCCTAACTGTTCCAAACCTTTATATACTTCACTAACCCTAACTGTTCCAAACCTTTATATACTTCAAAATGGTGTATTGGTGTTATACTTACGTTAAAAGGAACAGTTAGGGTCGGTGAAGTATATAAAGGTTTGGAACAGTTAGGGTCAGTGAAGTATATAAAGGTTTGGAACAGTTAGGGTCAATGAAGTATATAAAGGTTTGGAAAAGTTAGGGTCAGTGAAGTATATAAAGGTTTGGAACAGTTAGGGTTAGTGAAGTATATAAAGGTTTGGAACAGTTAGGGTCAGTGAAGCATATAAAGGTTTGGAACAGTTAGGCTCAGAATTTGTAATTTCTGAAACTAAATAACAAACAAATTTTCCCAAAACAGTATACGAGGTCTACAAAGTTCCGGTAGATAAATCTCACAACAGTGGAGATCGTCCAGTGTAATAATGTTTCTTCAATTCATAGTTTAATTAACATGTTTTACAGCCTTTTACTACTATACAGAATTATCTATACTTAGAAAAAGCGCTCTTTATTATGAAATAACTTATTCGAATATGAGGTCATAATATAAAGGTTAAAGTTATTTACAGCTATAACAATGTCAGTTATTCAGGGTCTAATAATTTGTAACTGATATTTATTATTCGAAATTTTTTGAAATAATTTAATATGGTTTCTATATTTTTCAGTAGTTTCGCCTTAGCGTCACTAAACATTTTCGAAGAAGGAAATATTAACATGTTTCATACATTAACTTTACACAAAAAAGATGTTATCTTGCGAGTTAGATGAAAAGAGAATCGATGATAAATCAGTTTACAGACTGGGCATTTTTTGGAATAGATTAATTGGCTCCTAAGCATAAAACTACAGAAAGAGAGATTAATTAAAAGTAATTATTTTCAAAAACGAGAAAATTACATAAAAGGAACAACTATTTACTGGGCAAAAGGAAAGCAACACCAAATCAATAATTTTTACGAGATAGATAATACAATTCATTAAAGAGGACAACATTGGTGGGCGTATGCAACATGTCTCCACAACACAATCGCAACAATTTTGACACCAGAAAAATCAAAAACAGTTTATATCACTGCTTCGGACCTGCAATAAGGAATATTGATTTCAAATCCCTAGTAAATTGGCTGACATTCACATGAATAGTTCATGAAAATCCCAAATTGTGCTTTTCTAGCTGAAAAATTGAACAAAAGACAGAAATTCCAAAATTGTCTATAAATCTGTTTGGAGCCTTTAAAAAGTATCTTTGTACCAAATACCACATAAATTAGGCGAAATACGGCAGAGTAATTGTTAAAAAACAACAACTTAAATTATGCTTCTTGTGGCATCTTGACCCCCCCTTATAGTTATTAAAAATGGGAAAGTTCAACATTTTTGTTTGTCTGTGTGTATTGCCTGTAAAAAAAGTATTTTTGTATTAAATTCCATGTAAACTATTCAAGATACGGACGAGTAATTGACAAAAAACTCACCCAAATTATGCTTTTTTGTGAGCTGTGACGCCCTCCCCATAAAAAGACTTACAACGGGCAAATTCAACTTTTTTGTATGTGAATGTGTTGGACACATGAAAATTTACATATATGCCGTTATAATCTTGATTGCTGTAAATATGACCGTACAAAAGCCCAAAACATACATTTTTGGGTTGTTTTACCTCTGACACTATAAAATCCTTAAAAAGGACTAAATCAAAAATCAAAAAAGAATAAAAAAAAAGGTGTCTGGGCATATTGGACCAGGATAGAACCTTACCAAGTTTCAAGTCAATCCGCCGAGAAATGAAAGAATGGCGGTTTGGAAGAAGAAGAAACAATAGAAAAACAGTATGTCTCTCTGCGGAGACATAATTAAGGTGAGAAGTAAGCTTAGTAAGGGACATAGTATGTTGTTTAACTGGAGGAAAATATTCTTAATTAACTGAGTTTATTTTCTAAAAGCTTCATGTTAAAAACTGTTTGTGGCTGACATTTTTAGTTACGTAGCGGTTTCACAACATGAAGAGATTGCAGAGACAACTTGATACTGAATCCTTGCGAAGTTATTCCACGTCCGTTTCTTTTGTTTGATATTGTTACCCAAACGTGATAGGCAAAACTTTGAAGATTTAAGTATGAACTGTGAATAAACTGATGTCAGATTTTCTTTCATCAGGCCTCATTCATTTATCAAGATTGAACAGAAACCATTGACATGTTTGTTTTTCAAGACAAAGTTTCAATAAGCAATCACATATATTTGTTAGGTCCTCATGAAAGTTTGCGCTAGTAGATCAAAATGTTGTTTTTAAATTCGTCAATGAACGACACTACTTCGACTTACTAGTTTAAAGTATTAGGAAAAAAATATCGCTAAATAAAAAAGCTATATAGGGCTGGCTATTGAAGTTAAAAAAAAGGTAACCAAACAGGATAGGGATGGAAGTGGACACATCACTTGATACGGCAAATGATCAAATAGCAGACTAAGCCTAACTGACTTTACGTGGAGAATATAATCTCTACATTACTGGCTTCCCCACTTTGTTTATCAAAAACTTGGTGTTGGAATAGAATCCCAGTTTTCATCATTATACATTTCCTTTAGTTAACTTTAGAATACTACTTTTATAACTATTTTACAACAGAGTAACATTTTACGATTGGAAATTCTGGTTCTATTTGTTTCGCCTGTGAGGAAGTCGGTAATGTAGGGATTTTATTATCCATGTAAAGTCGAGACAGCTTAGTCTACTATGTGATCATTAGCCGATCAAGTGATATGTCCACTTCCATCCTATTTTGTTTGGTTCCAATATTTCACGTTCGCTAGGTAGCCCTACATAATGTTTTTATTTGTGATAAATGTTTTTCCTAATATTTATTTGTTTGCTTGTTTTATAAGATGGCGTACGTGAGTTACTAGGTTATAGAGTGTATTCTAAAGCTTTATAAATTTTGCATAGAAT